TGTGGCGTCAGCCATGGTGATGTGGTCTTTCAAGAAAACCAAAGACATCTGAAGGACCCTTCGTTTCAGTTTCCTTTTACTGTCCGAACCCGGCACTGAGCACCTTCTGTGCAAGGCTTGCAGGGATCAGAAAAGGAAAAGCGACAAATTTGGATAATCGGCAGACCTAGAATTTCTCTAGCTTTGGGTTTGTATAAAACATAGATTTTAAGAACATACCACTGGAGAATGTCTATACACATCCTACATGAAAGGACGAGTGAGTATGAAAGAGAAGTTCTTGTGAAAATAGTGGCTAAATATATCCACCCCGACCCTGGGCAGGAGCGGCTCAGCTCTGCAATCTCTGGTGCGCTATCAGAGGGATCATGTGAAAGTGTCCTGGGGTGCAAGGGTCATGACCTGAACCTGCCTAGTGAGAGTGAAAATCTCCAGCGTCAGACTCGGCGAAAATACGTAGGAAAACAAACAAAAAAAGTGAATAACAAGAAAAAGTGAAGAAAAACTTTCTGTTAATTTTGTTTTAAGATTAAAGGCTGAAATACTGGCCGGTAATTTTCCTAACAGCTACTTCCCTCAAAGTTTTCCTCATTCACCTTGTCATCCCTACAAAAGCCACTTTGCTTTGTTGTTGATCTAGAAATGTAAAGCATAAATAGTTGACTTTCTCAAAAGGCGCCTGTGTGCTCAAGTTTTCGAGGGCCCGCGAATAAAGCTGATATGACCAGGTAGGCAAGGAGCTTATTCAGTGTTACTCTATTTCCCACTTATTCATTCTCCTAAAGATATTACTGAAATAGAATGGAATAAAACATTAAAGTTTTGTTATCATGAAGAAAACCCTTAAATGTATTCTGATTCAGAGAGGGTAGCCAGTTTCACATTATTGTAACCCCACAAGCTATGTGGAGGGCATAGATTCAGATTTGGTCCACGTTTATCAAACACTATCCCAGTGCCAGACATCTTACTAGGGGATTTTGATTAACTATATTTTAATGTATATTATATTCTAATATTATAATTTATGTGTATTGAGTCATTACATAAGCCTGTGAGTTAGCTGACATTCTTTCCAGGGCTGAAGTCTGCTCTCTCCAGGCCATAATAATAATAGTAATAATCTTAGCTACCATTTAGCTCTTACCGGGTACTGAGACTTTGTTTTATTTAATCTACACAGTAACCTTATGAGGTAGATGATTTCAAATCCCATTTCACAAATGAAGGGCTTAAGTGAGCTTTTGTGTGTGTTCCTGATGGTACATTTCCTGCTAATGTGTAAAGCAGGAGAGTCATGGGGTAGTTCCCGGGGCCAGGTTACTAGAGGATAAGGAAGGACACCCGTAAGTAACTGATAGTCCCTCTGCAGGAGGTGTACTAACAAGGACACATGGGTGTGTCCACGCATAGCTCCTGCAGCCTGTTCTTTCTCTAGATCTCTTATTAAACACAAAGAGGGAAAAGCCAGCTAAGGATTGAAAACTCGCAGATACATTTTTAAATGTCTGTGACTGACCATGTTCATTCCCCTGTTCCAGAGGATCAGCTAGAATTTGATACATGGGAAGGAGGATCAAGAAGTGAAAATCCAAGTAACATAAAACCATCAACCTGTGGAAACTCCCTGAAACCAAGTATGGGATGCAGACTGTCCCCGTAACAAATGGCTAATTCTAAATGAGCCAGACTCTTCGGGCAAAGAGTTTCTTTACTTCATAAGCCATGGTGCTAAGCAAACAGTGAGGACAGGCAGACTGCAGTGTATTTTGGCTTTTCCATTTGATCTTTCCAGAATCCTAATTAAGGATATTGCAAATTCTATATAAACAGACCACTGTGCCAAAATATTTGCATTGTACGCGTCTAGATCCAAATGGTGACCAATGGCTCTTGTAGACCAAGCTCCCAATTGGAATTAATCATTTTTTCTTCTGTGAGCTTAAATAAATTAACTTTTAATCTTATTTATGGACTCCACCATATTCTGCCAATATATATTTATGGAAGTACTTGCTTATATATTTATTTTGAAGTCTTTCTCTTGAAGCAGCTGCTTATTAAAATAAGTATGAAACATTTATATTTTTGATTGTCCTTTTGATACTGGTCTTTTGGTATTTTGAGAGCCAATGTGCTTTCATAGCTTGACTCTGAGAAAGTCTGAAAAGATAAAAGGAGTTTTATGAGCAGCGTTGACATGCATCCAAAACTTAAGGGCAGTTACTAAAACTTCAGATTGGAATCCTATTTTAGTTCATTCGTGGTCTTTATATCTGTCACTTACTTCACCAAAAGAAGGAGCCTTGACTGTCTTTCCCCCTCACTCCTTGTTTTTATGCAGAAAAGTGTGTTACAAAAAGACCTTCACTGTCTTGTGACAGGAAGCTCTTAAAATTGCATTAAAGAATCGAGCTCAGTAAGAGCAGCTTCCCAGACCCCGTCTGCGCTGCCTGTGACTGCATAGGCTGTGTTCCTTCAAACCTCAGACAGGAAGACATTTTAGCTCGCAGGCAAGAGTCCCATCATCTAACATTGCCAACTACGGTCCCACCTTGAATTCTGTGGCCACATAAATCATCTTGCTTTGGATCATTAGAAATGCTGAATAGGAAGAGAAAGAAGGCTGAACAGGTTTTGGTACCAACTCTACTTCGGATTGAACTTTGTAATCCTGGGCAAGGAGCCTGGCATAGTGGGCTGTGGGATCCCACCCAACATAACAAGGGTATAAAAGTATACCTGTTATATGGGCTTGTGTGTTTTTAAGTGAAAAAGTGGAACAAAATGATAATAAAAATCTAGGGTTTATTGATAATAATTTACTAACATCTTTCTTCTGGGAATAGATTCTTGTTTGGTTTCATTGTGCGGGGCAAGCATTCTTGAACCTGTTTGATTCCTTCTGTGACCTGTAATGAAACAGAGAGTAGTATAAGCAAACAGACAGTTTTCGTGTGTACTTGTTTATGGAGGAAACAGGAAAGTCCCTGCAGCAGCTAACGTCACGTTAAACGTTTTAACAATTCCAGAGCCTTCAAAGATCAGAATAGATTCTCAAAATGAGAAAAAGTAGGACTCAGTTAAATATTTTCTCTTCTTTTCTTTCCTTTCCTTCATTTTGTTTGCCTTTACCTGCTCTCATTCATTTGTGACTACAAATTAAATGGCCCCTTTCCTAGCTTCTCTTATTGACAGTAAACAAATATTTTTTCAGCCTTATTCAAGTATAATTGAAAAATAAAATTTTAATATACTTAAAGTGTACAACATGATTTAATTTGCATATACGTTGTGTTAATTAACCTATCCATACCTCACATATTTATTTTATTTAGTGAGAACACTTAAGTTGTACTCTCAGCCAATTTTAATTATACAATACGGTGTTATTGATTATAGTCACCATGTTTTACATTAGATCCTTAGACCTAATGCATCTTATGATTGTACCCTTTTACCAACTGCCACCATCATTTTACAATCTGTTTTTAAGAGTTAGATTCCTTTTTTTTCTTTTTTAAAGATTCTACCTATAAGTGATACCAGGCAGTATCTGTCTTTGTCTGGCTTATTTCACTTAACGTAATGTGCTTCATGTTTATTCATGTGGCTGCAAATCGCAGGATTTTTTCTTTTTACAGATTGAATAATAAACAAATATTTTTGAGTTCCTGTTAGTTAAGTGACAAACTGGGCAGATTCTGGGAAAAAGCGATGAACAAGACATGCCCCTTCTCCTCTTCTTTGATGGATCTTATATTCTGAATGTTAACAGTCGAATGAGCCTGTTTGGTTCTCCTTAAAAGTTTGTGTTAGGCGAGACCTAACCATGGCAGATTAAAAGGACAGGCGAGGAGCTTGGGAAGTCCTGTGCTGAGGCACCAAGCGGTGATTAGCAATGTAATGTTAGATGAACTATGTAACCCTCAAAGACAAAAACCTGTTGTGTTAATTAATAGTATTGCCATAAATTAGGAATATCCTGAGTAACTATTTTATAATACGTAAAACTTCACATATTAGGAAAAGGCTTATCGGTTAAAGAAAAATGTTTTAACTATAGAATGCTTTTATTTTATTTATTTATTTATTTATTTATTTATTTATTTATTTATTTATTTTAATCCTCACCCAAGGGTATTTTTCCACTGATATTTTTAGATAGGGTGGGAAAGAGGGAGGGAGGGAGGGAGGGAGGGAGAGAGAGAGAGAGAAAGAGAGAGAAACATGGATGTGAGAGAGACACATCAATTGCTTGCCTCCCACACAACTCCAACCAGGGAGGGGATTGAACCCAGGTGTATGCCCTTGACCGGGAATTGAACCCATGACTCTTTGGTCTGTGGGCCAGTGCTCTAACTGCTGAGCCACACTGGCCAGGGCTAGAAGAGTTTAAAATACTAAATGGAATAGTTCCAAGAGGGTTGGTTTAATAAATATAGTTTTTCTGCAGTTGACATCTATAAATGATGTCAAATTATATGAAATACTTTAAAAATTAGATTAAATATTCATCCCAATTGTATTTATATACTTTAGTTTTTACTTAGTAGTAGTTTTTGTTTTCACATGTTTTGCAAAGACATAGTTTCTCACATACAGTGCAAATTTCCAGAAATTCCAAATCAATTCTTACTTAGTAAAACTCCAGTTTGTGAGATTTGACTCTACATGAAACCATCAACCTACTCATTTCTTCAGGACCATTTCTTCTACCAGACAAAATATGAAACCTGAAACAAGCAAATTGTAATGCCATATCATTAAATATTTGCCATGTTTCTTACCAGATTGGAGCACAACAGATGTGTCCAAATTTTTGGTGGTTTTATCTAGGTGAAAGGTGAATATAATTATAATAAAGAAAAATTTATTATGCCCTTATGTTGTTATTGAAGATATTTTTAATGCCTAGCCCTGCTCTTTTAGATGACCAAGTTACACATTTTAGTCATTTAAATTCTCTATTTATAGTCAAAGTTATCTTTGTCTTACAGCTAATATCTCGATATCTAATGACACCACATTGGCTCCAGAGGGTTTGCCAACTATGTCTTCAACCGACACGGTAAGTGACTTAATATTTCAAAGCACTTGCACACTTACACATTGTATAGTCTATTATATTCATAATGTGATGTCTCCTACCATTCAGCCGCCCTAGCCTGGACACGTTTAATACCCCGTGCTAGTGGGAGGACAGAAATAACACTTTCTTTGCTCTAGTTAGCTTGTTTTCCTTTCTTTCTTTCTTTCTTTCTTTCTTTCTTTCTTTCTTTCTTTCTTTCTTTCTTTCTTTCTTTCTTTCTTCTCTCTCTCTCTCTCTCTTTCTTTAACTGAAGTGAATATTTACTTCTACTATATTCTTTTTAAACCTGCTTAGGAATTTAACTGCTCTATCCAATTAATTGTCACCTTGAAGTGTTTTTGCAAGGTGAAGTGGGGGAAGCAGAGAAATGAGAGCATGGTGTCCTCTCTGTTTCTAGTTCGACGAAGGATTCTTCTGACTTCCAAATGGTACTGTGTTCTCCTCACTAAGGCTGATTGTAGCAGGACATTTCCCCTGTCACTTGGAGAAAAACTATGCCTCTGTCACATGATATCCTTTCCCATGGCAAGTGACCAAGGACCTTTAAGAGACTTGAACTAAGCTTTAAAAATGAGCTGTTTTGCATGGAAGGTCACACACTGGAAGGAGACTTTTGTGCTGGAGAAAAAGAGGAAAGTGCTGTTTCAGACTTTCAATTGTGTTCCTTCCACACTGGATATGGACTCTTACCAAAGAATATCAATCTCTCCCTTAAACGACAGAAACTATAATACCTGGTATTGATAGAGTGCCAGTCTCTCAGGAGACCAGAACACTTCTGCAGATACGATACACAACATCCCTTTCACAGATGATGTTTTCTGTCTTTCCTGGACAACTCGCACTTGACCCTGTTTCTCTCTCGTTTTTATATTCTGTGGCTCTCTTGACTTCTTAAAAAAGTTTTCTCTGACTTTCCCCAAACTTTGCCTCTTTATTTCTTCCATATTTGAGTGTGTATGTGTATGTGTGAATGACAGTATGTATATACCTTTTAAAAGCCACATTGAGAAAAGAGTTTAATTTTCAGTCTTTGAGCCAGCCAGCCTATTGCCTGAAAGGACTTGATTAAAATACAGAGAAAAATACTTTCTTCTAGACTTTAAAGAATTTTAATTAAAATCCAATAAAAATTTACAAGTGAATGTAATTAAAACCATAAGCAATAAAAATTAATAAAACACTTCCACTAACTTAAAAAGAGATTGTTTCTAACTTATTTTTTTGTAACTAATCAAAGAAAGCTTTAAAATTAATGAATTTTTGAGTCCTGTCTTTGGTCAAGTCCTGGAGAGACACCAGTAATTGGTATATAGTAATTATAGTCAGATGACACTGTAAGATTCATGGAAAACAAATGGAAGTTGTCGCTGACTTCCGGTGTGACTATGATAGAGGACATAAAGTCACAATGATGATTATAATCTAACTGCCATTTATAGAGCATCTATCAGAGACCAGGGGTTTCACATGTCTTATAATCATTATAAAACTTACTATGTAGTATAAGCATTAACACAAACTACCAGGCATGCTTATCTGCATTTGAGAATTGAGAGAAACCGCAGTTCCAGAAGGCGAGAAAACCTTTCTTACTGCAGGTCACTTAGCCATAAATTAGTAGAACAAAGATGCGAAGTGAAGTCTGGGTGGTTCCAAGACTTTTGACACTGGTAGTGCGTCATGAGGTTTCAGTGTTTGCAAACGGAAATGTTTACCCTTTCCGTCCCTAAGAACACTCTCTGTTCCAGGGCAGTGGCCCCTCAGGGGGTGTCAGTTGCACACCATAATTAAGATGTTAAGTTGCTATGTTCAGAGAAAAAAACTTAGGAAAAAATATGCACATGTGTGTATGTAATTATGAAAGATAACTTTTATTCTATTTTTCATTTCTCCTTGTCTATCCATATCAATTCCTTTATGTATCCTTTGCATAGACACACAGACATAAATACACAGACAGTATATAGGCAGATAATCTAGAAATGAGTAATATGATTTATTATCATCAGCAATAACTACCATTTATTGAGCACCCACTAAAGGCTCTTATATCATCTGTAATCTTCACAATAACTTTGTGAATTATTATGTAACGTGTATTTTATAGATGACATAGAGGTTTAGAAAGGTTAATTGACCTTCCAAGGACCATACACTTGTCTGTGGTAAAACCAGAATTTGAACTTAGAGCTTTCCAACTCCAACATTTGCCTATTTGAATTCTTTGGGGAACCATAAAAGCGTTTGATGTAGAAGACTTACACGTGCTGAGTTCTGGTGTCAGACTGCTTAGTTTCAAATGCAAGGCTCCATTACTTCACAGGCTGTGGAGCCTTCTAGTATTTATGTCCGAGATTCTACAGGGTGAGGCAAAAGTAGGTTTATAGTTGTAAATACGCAAAACACAGAGGTTATTCCTGTATCGTTATTTATTAATTATTGTATTATTTTCCACACAAACAACTATAAACCTACTTTTGCTCCACCCTGTATAAAGGTCAAATTAATAAATAGGCAGGACGTGGCACAGTGGCTGGCACATATCTCTCGATCAATGGTAGGCACTGTTATTATTCTGTTTAGATGTTATTATCACTCCAGGAGGCCATGCTGCCTCCATAGCTCAGACTGATGGAGAGAAGTTGGAAGGCCCTGCTTCTGACAGACTGCTGAGGCCTCTGTCTGCCCAGCCAGGCCAGCTCCGCTCCCTGACCATGCCTGGGACATCCAGTCATCAGCTCTTAATTTCCTTCTTTTCATTTCGGCCATAATGAGATCCTGAAAGGTGCTGTGTAAGTGGCCAGACTCCCTGTCCGAGGCCCTGAGAACATCCTGTCAGAGGAAGGAAGGCTTTCCCTTCGGCCTCATTAGCATAAGACCAGCTGTCTTCTTCCTGCTGATGGGGTGTTTTTTCAGGGAGAGAGAGCAGGGAAATCGGGGCATTGGAGCAGTTGGATAGAGATTGGAACTCTAGAATAACCAACCCTCAGGATAAAAGGACAGGTTTTCCATTATTTTCATTTATTGTTGGAATCATTGTGTCTTTAATTCTTCTCACCTTCTTCAGTTTGCCCATAGATTTCTCCTTTGGCATATTCTTTCAACTTGTAAACAAAACCCTTTAAAAGGTCGCTATGGAACTGTGAGAGCCGCCACAGTCTGTCCACATTGTGTGTCTGAACAATAAGCATTACAACCTGTTGGCCTCCACCTAGCAACTCTCAAAGGGAGAGACCAGATTTCAAAATCTAACGTCAGTCTCTTCTGAGGAGCTCATTGAATGGATCCGTTAGTATTTGTTTTTCATGTTAGATTTTTTTTTTTAATTAAATGGAGGCATGTTGTAAAATGTACAGTTCTTGCATGTTAATTGCAATGCATTTTGACAATTTTATACACTCACGTAACCACCACTCAAAACAGGATAAAGAACATCCCTTCATCCCGGAATGGCCCATGGAATGCTCCAGATCTTGTTCTACGCCCCAGCTTTCTGAGCCTTTGAGAGACTCTCCTTTTCCCAACTGCTCTGCCCCCCAGACTTCGGAGGTCAGATGCCTTAGCCCTCTTCAGTCAGAAGTGCCTGAATGCCTCCAGGGTTTTCTCTCAGCTCTCCGGCCCTGCCTCCCATCTTGGGAAAGTGGCCTTTTGCATGTGGTGTAGACTGTGTCCAAGTGGGGACTTCTCACAGCAATTGTGTCTCACCTCCAACCTTTATACACCACAGGCTCCATCTGCGCCTGGGGATCCTCAGAATTGTGGTCCTCACTGCATGCAGCTGTTAACAATTCATTAGGGATGTGGCTTATTTCTCTCTACCTCCATCTAGATTTATCTTCCACCTGCTTCTCTGCCAGGGGCAAAGCAGCCTATGAAGGTCTTGTAACATTTTTGGAATTTATTTAGGTTTCTTTGCCATCCTCATCTCTGGTGGATTTTTAAAAAAACTTATCTAGCAGTGACCGTCTCCTTCAACCTTCTATATCTTAACTAATTAGTTTTGATATTTTACAATAATACATATAATACAGAGAACTGCGGCTCTGATGTACACTGTCCATCTTAAAGTAAGATGGCAGGTTACTGCAAATGTGACTCGCCCACTGCAAGGAAAGTCCTAAATGAATACAGGTACTATTTAACCTTGAGACTTTTATTTGTAGCATTACTCTCATTTATATATATTTAAAAGGCATGCATCTTACCAGTCTATACTCAAAGAGAGCAGTGTAGAATTTTTTATTTTCATTATTATTATTATTTTTGCTTATTGTATTACCCAGGGAAGCCTATCATGTCTACATGGAAATGCTATTAATCATGGGACTAAGAAGTATTATAGTCTCATATATTCTGCTTGTCAGACATGAAAGCAAAAGTGCTTTGATTTCATAAACCTTCAGGGCAGTTCTAGGAGTTAACATTCATTTTAATAGGAAATGGAATGTCATATTTATCTTCTTGTATGTAGCATCCTTATGTTTTTTCTCATTGGGAAAGTCAAATGCAAAAACCATTCTGTCCTTAAATCTCCTTGAAGGTTACATGTTCCTACCTTTTAAAATATCATGGAAAATGTAAAATATACACCAAAGTAGAGAGACTAGTATGTGAACCCCACATACATGTCACCTAGCTTCAGAGACTGTCAACATGTTGCCCATCCTCTTGCGTATATCCCCCCACTTGTGTATTTGGAGAGGATGCTACAGTACTTTAAATTTTGAAATCAATCTTTTAGTATACATTCTACATTTAAGAGTTAGAAAGATCTCAATATAAACAGTGTCTCTAGAAAATGAGGTCCAGAAAAAATAGACTAAAATATTTTTCTATGAGATTGACCTCAGTTAAAACCCCTAGGGATTTGGTCCCATTTCCTTTACATGTTTTCTCTCACTACCCATTTTCATGGATGACCTGCTTTAACCCACCTGGTTCACTCACTGTCAGTTCCCCCACATGGTGAGCGCTCAGTGAGTTTTGAATAAAGGACTTACTGGATAAGTGAATGAAGCATTCTATGTAAGCAAGAAAACATCTTTATCATTTCATGTACATCTGTATAGCTTTCACTTCAACTGAATCTCTGTAAGAAAAGAAATACAGGCCCAGCTGGTGTGGCTCAGTGGCTGAGCATCGACCCATGCACCAAGAGGTCCAATTCCTGGTCAGGGCACATGCCCAGGTTGTGGGCCCGATCCCCAGTGGGGGGCATGCAACAGGCCGGCAGTCGATGTCCTCTCTTATTGATGTTTCTCTCTCTCCCTCTCCCTTCCTCTTTCTCTAAAATCAATAAAGAAAAAAAAATTAAAAAAAACAAAAACAAAAACAAAGAAAAGCAATACAAGAAATTTCCTGTTGGAATTGTTTTAATGCTGCTTATCTCTCTGGAAATTCTAGTTACAAAAAAGCATTCTGGACCTGGCTTGGTGGCTTAGTTGTTGGAAGTGTTTTCCCATACACCAAAATGTCATGGGTTTGATTCCTGGTCAGGGCACATACCTGGGTTGCAGGTTTAATCCCCCACTGGGGCCCGTACTGGAAACAACCAATTGATGTTTCTCTCTCTCTCCCTCTCCCTTCTTCTCTCTCTAAAATAAAAATCAATAAAAACATAGACTCAGGTGAGAATTTTTTTTACAAAGCATTCTGCTGATGTCAAAGAGCTATGATGAAATTATGGTAAATTTTTGCTGATTTTAAAACAAAGAAATGTGTTATCTATTATGACCTCTACTCTTTAAATGTATTCTGCTAAAAACATCCATATACAGAAATTTGAAAAACAAAATGAGACATGATTAATCACCTCTCAGAAGCAAAGTCTGATAAGAGTAATTATGCAATTCAGATATTTACAGGTTGAAGCTAATAAAGAAAATATATTTCAGGGAGTGATTTAGAGTTTATTTTTTTGTTGTTAAAAAAAAAGTGTGAGCACTTTACATGTTGAACTCTATGAAAATATAGAACTCTTCCTGGTCAGAAAGTCTTCTTTTATAGGTATGATCTGTTATAAATAGATCACTCATATCAATATATCCAGAGAATTTATTGAGCCCAGCCAGTGTGGCTCAGTGGTTGAGCGTTGACCCATGTACCAAGAGGTCGCCAGTTCGATTCCTGGTCAGGGCACATGCCCAGGTTGTGGGCCCGATCCCCAGTGGGGGGCATGCAGGAGGTGGCCATTCGATGTTCTCTCTCATCAATGTTTCTAGCTCTCTCTCCCTCTCTCTAAAATCAATAAAGAAACAAAAACAATTAAAAAAAAAGAATTAATTGACTAGTAAAGGGTATTGACAGTGTATTTGGTTTGAGGTAGAACTCTTGCTTCCAAAGAACAGGAGAAATGTATCTTTCCACACTTATTTGCAAGTTATTCTCAACTCTCCTGTTAGCATAAAATATACCCCTTAGCCCTGGACCCCAGAGGACGTTCAACATCACGATGTCAGCAGATTCAGTATCTGGTGAGGACCTGCTTCCAAGTTCATAGACAGACTTCTTTTCACTGTATACTCATATGATGGAAGGGGCAAGGGAGCTCACTGGGGTCCCTTTCATAAGAACACTAATCCCATTCATGAAGGCCCCACCACCATGACCTAGCCATCTTCCAAAGGTTTCACCTCTGAATACCGTCACAGAGGCAAATATGTTTAAACATGAGTTTTAGGGGAGCCCAAATATTCAGTCAATAGCACCCCATAGTGTGGTCAGGTATGCAGGAGGGCATAACACTCCAGGTGAGGGGGCTTTTTTGAGGCTGAAAGCAGTTCTCCAGAGAAGGAGGTGGGTGTGAGCTGGTCACAGCAGGGCCCATCAGCATCTTGTAGTTTAATTCCCTGCGTTACCAACTCTAGTTATTTAGAAAAGAAACAGCTCGTTTGTGAATATGCTGGGTAGATGAGTAGTTAACCTAATAGAACTTTTGGAGCATTAACCATGGGTCCTTAGCTTGAAGCATAAGGAGCTGTTCACAACAAAAGTAAGTACTTTTGAACAACAAAGTGTTTCAGAGAGTCGCACATTTTAAGACTTAGGATATTACTCAGTTTACTCTCAGGAAGGTTGACAGGAGAGAAAGACTTAGTGGCTTGTTTCTGTTGAACCGGTGAGTGGTTGTCAGGTTGTAGCTCAAACTAGATAACAGACTGCATCGTTCTCTTTGTATTTTCAATCACTGTCGCCTCCTGGGTCCCCTCCCCTTACCTGTTATTCTGTTAACATCTCATCCAGTTTCATTCTGCAATGGTTACCTTCAAACTGTTTTCCAGAAACTTTTAGCATAATCCCTACATAGCCCATCAAGTATCAAAAGCTGCTTTTGATGTGTCAGTGGGCTCTAGAAAATGTTTAATGTTTTTCTTCTTCAGTACCATAATGCTACCTTTGACTGGGCAGTTCTGTCGAAGAAGGAGTGTTTGAAGTATGGAGGGAAGCTCGTGGGGAGCAACTGTGATTTTGTTCCCGATATCACACTCATGTCTTTCATCCTCTTCTTGGGCACCTACACCACCTCGATGGCTCTGAAAAAATTCAAAACCAGTCGTTATTTCCCAACCATGGTAAGTACCTGAGCTTTAAATAATTTTTATTTAATTTACACTGTATCAACAAGAATGCAATTTTATGTAAGGAAAAGGGCACTTGTAATTCAACCTTTCCAATATAATTTTGTGCATTTAAAAAAATTGCTTTCCAATCTTTGTCCATATGCATATAAATTTTTAAAATAACTATAGTTCAGCTTTGAAAAACCTTTCCAAGGATCTTGCTCACATAATTCTGTCATAAATTCTGACTGTCATAATTCTGACTGTACTAAAATGAAAAAGTGGAGCATATTCTATGTAAACATTCAAAAATTAAGAAAATACCTTTTACATCCATAGTGTTTGAGTGTGTAAACAAAAACTCATTTTATATTGATCAAGAATTTTGACATAGAAGTTTCTGCTCATCAGCTGTCCATTTGAGTAATTTAGTAGTTAAATTATGGGCTGTGGAAGTAAACTTAAACTGTGTTGTTAACACAAGTATTGGTATAAAATATTAGTGTTATCTTAGCAAAACTTTCCATCCTGTAATAATGAAAGTTGTAGTATGGAAAAACAGATCATTGAGCTGAGTGGGCAGACATCCTGTCTCTCAGTAATAAACTTGGGTGAATGTAAAGTCACAATTGTGATTCTTTGAGACAGTACAAGATAAGATCAACATTTAGTTAATAGCATTTTGTGTGTGTGTGTGTGTGTGTGTGTGTGTGTGTGTTTTACCTGAAGAATAAAACTAAGATAATCCTTTGTTTCATGGTTCAATTCTTAGTGTTCAGGATGTCAATAATTCTCAGGTAATCTTGATAATACCTAATTTTTACCAGTGAACTATTCTATACTGGAGCTTCACGAAAACTTTCCTCTTATATTTTGTGTACAAGGAGTGGGTTAACTTTAAAGACACGAGATACAGCTGATGAAGTTCCCTTTTTCAATATCTAGTAAATGCAACTTAAAATTAGTATATTATTTTCACCTAGGAAATATTTTGACTCTCTGATTCTTATAAAATCGAAAATAAGGGAAGGGTTGATCATTGTCTTGTCTGAACTGCTGTGACAGAATGCTGTAGACTGGGTGGCTTATACACAACAGAAATCTATTTCTCAGTCTGGAGGCAGGGAAGTCCAAGGTCAGGAGCTGTCCTGATTGGGGAGGCCCTCTTCCTGGTTCTCTGTCATCACCTTTTTTAGTGTCTTCATGTGGCAGAAGGGCTAGGAATCTCTTTGGGGTTTCTTTTGTAAAAACATTGATCTCATTCATAAAGTCTTCACCCTTATGACCTAAGCACCCTTCTAAGGCTCTGCCTCCTACTACCATCTTCTTTGGGGATTAGGATGTCCACATAGGGATTTGGGGGTGACATGCATTCAGACCATAGCAACAATGAAAGGTTTGGATTAGCTAGCCTAAGGAATGAAACATTTCCACAAAGTGAAATGTAGAAAGAAGTGTTCAACTTAGTCTGCCTAAAAGCAACATCACAAACTGGTGGTCCACAGGCAGAATTCAGCCCCCAGACATTTTTTTTTGTACACAGGAATACACACGCATATTCACACTTGCGGCCTTAGGGAATCTGTACTTTGCAGGTAGTTATTGTGCCCACAACTCTGTGTTGGCCAGGACTTGGCTATTTCACATATTCAACTGCCTATCCCAGAAGACGTTGGAGCTCGCAACACGTTCACACACGGGGATGCGTGCTTACTTGATCCACCTCTTCAATGGTGTAAGTTTCCTGCAGAACACGCTCCTGAGGAAAGGTCTTTTAGGATGATTTCTTCTTCTCTATTGAGGTGTTTCTCTTTCTTAATTGTTAATTAATTGGGCATCTTGGGACTCATCACCCACTTTCCAAAGTCTAATATTATTTAGACATAGCAGGTAGAAAAGTGAAAAATGTATGAAGCACTTTTAGCAAAATAAACTAATTTCAGCCTTAAAATGAATAGAGATTTTTTTTTCATCCTCACCCAAGGACACTTTTCCTTATTTTGTTCAGATAGAGTGGGAAGGAGAGAGAGAGAGAGAGAGACATCGATGTGAAAGGGACACATCAAGTGGTTGCCACCCACACAACCCAACCAGGGCCGGGGACAAACTACAAGTGAGGTACGTGCCCTTAGCGGGAACGGAAAGCGCGTCTCTCTGGACCGCAGGCCGACGCTCTAACCACTGAGCCAAACCGGCCAGGGCAGTTGAGACCATTTTAACTGTCTATGTAGACATCACCTTTTTCTTCCAGCAGTAATTTCAAAATCAAAAATATGTCTTCAGACTTAAAGGAATTTTGCCCTAATGAGAGTCCAGGCAGGTATTTTCTCAGCCATTGATAAATGTTCTTGAGAAAATCATGCATGTATGAAAATAGAATAATGGTAGCATTGTAGTTATAATTCTGTTCAGAAGTTTCTCAGCATAGTTGAGAACTGTATATACCAGATCGTACAATAAACAGGGAGGAGGAAACTCATGTGATCTCTAAGGATCAATGTGTGTGGGGGCTATTCCTGTTCCTTACTTACTTCACAGGTACAGCTAACTACTAACAATGCACACATAAATTCACATATACATACATGAATAATAAGAACATTTTTTTTTCTTGCTCATTTGCCAAAATATGTTTTCATTTAAGCTGTCATTTAGAAGGATGGTCTCTACAGGTAGGGACAGATAGATTTATAGATTCTTACGCTTACATATTATATTCTACAACTAAAACTTATATGCTTAAACATGATAAATTAGATAGTCCTTGATTGTTGCAACAATAATTAAGCCTGTTAGCACTTCCTCACTCACATCACATGAAACCTCTGAAATCTGAAAATGTGAAACGAAGTGACAGTGCCCTTGTCTTACAGAATATTCTCCATTAGCTTGCATAGCCTTTTCTCTTTTGTACTCTCCATTCAAAACAGTTGTATGAGTTGTAGTCAATTAAGATTGTAAACTGCTGGAAAACCTTTATACTTCTGTTTTTTAAAAATATGTTTTTATTGATTTTTTAGAGAGAGAAAGAGAGAGAGAAACATCGACGCGAGAGAAACATCCATCGGCTGCCTCCTCCACACCCCCTACTGGGGATCAAGCCCACAACTCGGGCATGTGCCCTGACTAGGAATTGAACTGGGACCTCTAAGTCCATGGGACGGCACTCAGTCCACTGAGCCACACCAGCGGGCTACACTTCTGTTTTATTCCTCACATATCAATTAGCAAAAGGTTGGATGAGGCCTAGGTACTCAATACTTGTTGACTAATGGAAACTAGTCACGTAGCGATAATTGCTGCATTTTGTGAAAAGAGCACAGATGTAGGAACCCAGAAGCCACAGATTTTAGTGCCAGCACTGCCATTGACGAACACGTGCTCTGTGATTGCTAACTGTGGACTTTAGTTACCTAGTGAGGAGGAGCTTAGCTAGATGGCAGTTACCAACCTTTAAACCTCTAGTATTCCATAATTTTTAAGAGTTTTCTGACTCCATCTCCTAAATTAAATAAATTCTGTATATTAAACTAGTGCTTATAGTAATGATCAGGGCTCACAAACTTCCAAAACTTGATTCTTACCTGCATTTTTATGCCAGATTCACTTTTGTTGCTGCTATACCAGCATCTCTCTGAGGATGATCCACAGCTGTCACGTTGAAGAGATAACATGTGGTTTTTCTTCACACCTTTGAACATGCTCATCTTCCTGTATTCCTTATCTGAGCTAATAATATCACCTGTCCTCACAGCCACCCAAGATCAAATCCTAAAATTATATTTGTTGGATCAGTCAGAGTCCCAGCAGGAAGCAAATGACACCGTCAACTTAGATCATTTGAGAGATTTAACAGAGGCATTATTCACAAAGGTGAGGTTAAGGTTAGGGGAACCACAGGGAGAGTGTAGTGTCCAGTGCTAATAGCAGTGGGGTTGTTACTATCCCTGGCCCAAAGGATGTGAAAAGAGAGTGGTTGCTGGGACCTGGAAAAAGAGAGAAGGTAGAGAGAGAGCTGTCTTGAGAGGTACTGTGACATTGGATAGAGAGATTTAGCCAGCCCAAGGCAACCTCGCTGGGATACAGAGAAGGGAATCAATACTCTGATTTCTCTTCCCTCTGATGGCCTGTCCAAGCTGCTGTGGACTAAACTCAGCTGGAATTCAGAGAGCAAGGGAGCTCATTGTAGACCACACAGGTCACCCTCCCAATGCAGAGTGCATGGTGGAAAGGTGTAGAAAATGGATCTGTTCTGATAAAAGATGGTATCCATTGCATTTGCCTCTCCATTTTTTTTTGTTTTGTTTTGTTTTGACATCAAATTAACTTCATCACAGTCCCCTTGACTATCCAGCTATAATCGCTCTCCTTTACACTTGTAATTCTGTTTCCCTAGTTCTGTTCCTCATTACTTTTTCCTAGACCAGAGTCAGTTACCCATGAAGCCACTTGCAATCCATCAGTATGAACACTTAATGAAAGAGTTTGCCTCTGCTAGCCTGGCTGTCAGGACATTAATTTGTATGTCAGTCACTTCCAGAGAGTCTCAGTGCTCAGTCAATATGGTGGAATTCCAGTACTCCATGGCCTCCCCTTTCTTGTTAGAGGGGTGCATCAGTCTGCTGTCCTACACAGTTACTGTCCCACACAGTTACTGGTCTGCAATCAGCCTCAAGTCTTTTTTTTTCTTTATTGATTTTAGAGAGAAAGTCAGAGAGAGGGAGAGAGAGACAGAAACATTGATGAAAGAGAACATCGATCAGCTGCCTCCTGCATGCCCCCCACTGGGGATGGGCCCACAACCTGGGCATGTGCCCTGGCTTGGAATCAAACTGGTGACCTCTTGGTGCATGGGTCAACGCTCAACCACTGAGCCACACCAGCCGGGCCCAGCCTCAAGTCTTCAGTTAAAGTCTTTCATATAGAAACTTCCTGTAGGAGTATCACAGAATAATCTGTGCTCATCTGTGGCAGACGGATCAGGGCATCAAACATAAAATGTTCTTCTAGAG